ATCTCCCTCTCCCCCTCTGGTTTTTAGGGAGTCTGATTCTTAAAATAGCTGTATTTGTTTTCCAGGTCAGTTGTTTTTGGTTGTGTAGGTACCCTGTATTTTCTTACTTTTCTTGCCTAATGGAGTCTGTGATTACTGCATTTTATTTTTCATGGAGCTCATTATTTAAGTAAATTTTTCCACCTTCTCTTCTAAAGTATTTTTCCTTCAAGAGCTCTTATTTAAATTCTAATTTCACTTATCACTTGCTGCTCTTCTAGTCATTTTAATAGTCTTTGTGGACAAGTTATTTTTGACCCTGAGGAACTACTTATACTTGCGGAGGATACTCTACTGGAATTATGTTTTAGAATTCTCTTAACTTGTTGTATTGGTTTTTTTTAAATTATCCTTTAGCCTTTTTATATGTTTCAACTGTATTAATGTTTGGAAAATTTGACACGAACAATAATTCTTTTTTTATGACAACAGTAGTAATATTTAATTCAACTCTGAAGTAGTTGCTATTATCCTCATTATTATAGCATATAATGTCCTACAACTCCAAGGTGCCCAGAACCCATCTTGGCTGAGTGCTCACATAGTGTGGATGAGATAAGAATCAACCTTAATCTTTCCAAGGAGACGGAAAACTATCAGGTCACCTATCTGCCCTGTACCCTAAGAACCAAATTTTCTTTTGCATTATTTCCTAATGTCATTTCTCCTAGAGAGCAGAGATTGTTTTGCTTTTTACATTTGTCTTTCCAGGGCTTAACAGCTTTTGGCACATACTAAATACTTAATAAATACTTTCTCATTCATTCATTTTACAATTGAGTACACTGAGGCTGAGAGAAATTAAGTGACATACCTAGAGTCCCTTAGCTAGGAATGATTTGAGGTACTAAAATTCAAACGCAGGTCTTCCTGACTCTAGATCCAGCACTTTATGCCACCCCTTTTTGTTACTCCTGTTATCTTTTCCATTGACTTTGTGATAAAATTTTTCTTGGGTGAATCTCCTCTCCTTTATTTGAGTATTCCCATGATGTCAAGTCTTCTGTTCTTTTCTATGTAGATTTCTTTTGATATAGCATCTTTCTTTCCTAATGGTTTTATGATTGTATATTCTTCATACCCAACCTCTGGTCTGAATCCAGTTCGTCTCTCTAACCAGCCTATAAGACAATATGTACCTTTAAGCTCAATACTTCTGATGTTTTGACTCTTGCTTTTCTCACTCCACATACAGATCTTAATGATTTCCAAGTAGCAAGTTCATTGTTTAAATTATGTCAGCTCTCCATTATAATAGAAAAAGTTCTAGTTCTGAATTACTGGAAGCCCTTTTCCCCCTTCTGGCTAATTTCTCTTTCCATTCTGGTCCACATACTACTACCAAATTAACCTTGATAAAGCATCACTTTCACTTTAGCAATCCCTAGCTTGAGACCTCTTGCTTAATTCAACCAAGCATATCTATGTGCCAAAGATTGTGCTAAGTGCTGGAGTTTCAAAAACAAACAAACCATTGCTCTCAAGTAGCTTAAATTCTCCTGGAAGACCCTACAGATTGGCTCCTCTCTGAGCAAGTCCAAACCCTCCAGTCTCTTGAGGCTCACTAATAGTCTGGTCTCACCAAATCTTCAGTTTAAAAAAAAAAACAAAAACCCCAAACACCAAACCTATTTAATTGAGGACAAATGAATTGAGATAAGTTGATGAAACAGAATTACTGAAGAATTTTAAAGGTGGCTGTAAAGAGAGAACAGTAGAAGCACAATGTTTTTATTTATTTTATTTATTTTGATTTATCAACAATCACTTCCATAAGCCTTTGAGTTTTAAATTTTCTACCCTTCCCTCTCCCCCCCTTCCCGAGATGGCGCGCAATCTGATAAAGGCTATACATATACATTCCTATTAAACATATTTTCACATTAGTGATGTTGTAAGAAAGAATTAGAACCAATAGGAGGAACCACCAGAAAGAGGAAACAAAGCAAAACAAGAAAAAAGAGCAAATAGTATGCTTCTATCTGCATTCAAACTCCATAGTTCTTTCTTTGGATGTGGATAGCATTTTCCATCATGAGACCTTTGAAGAGGTCTTAGATCCTTGCATTGCTGAGAAGGGCTAAGTCTGTCAACGTTAGTCATCTCTCAACATGGCTGTTACTGTGTACAACATTCTCCTGGTTCTGCTCATGTCACTCAGCATCAGTCCATATGAGTCTTTCTAGGTTTTTCTGAAGTCGCCTGCTCATCATTTCTTACAACAAAATAGTATTCCATTACATTTATGTATCACAACTTGCTCAGCTATTCCCCAGTTGATGTGGCTCATTTTCCAATTTTTTGCCACCACAAAAAGAGCTGCTATAAATATTTTTGTCCATGTGGGTCCTTTTCCCATTTGTATGAGCTCTTTGGGATACAGCCCTAGAAGTGAGAAGAAAACTATTTTAAGCCACAGACTGTTTCTTAAAGGTGAGGGGTACATTGGAATGAGGTCCCAGGAATTAGTGATGGTAGCAGTAGAGAGGATCTTATCTAGCCTCTTAGAAAAAAACATGTGAGAAGAGTTTGTTTTAAAGATGCTCTATTTCTGGGTAAAGGTGTATTTATGTACATAATGCATCACAGGATGAGGAGTGTTTTTCTGCAGTCATGGGGAGTTGCTTATAGCAGCCCAGAGGAATACTAGGGATGGCATGATTGCAGCAGCCTCTAAATATCTTGGAAGGAATTCCTTTGGTACAGTGAAAGAAATCTGATTTTGAGTCAGGACCTGCATTTGCAGCTTGCCTCTGATGCTTCCAGCCTTGTCATCTTGTACAAGTCACTTGAACGTTTCTGGGTCTTAGCTTCCACATCTGTAAAATGAGCAAGTTATACTAGATGACCTAAGATCCCTTCCAACTTTAAACCCATGGGGATTTTAAATCCCAACTAAGTATACCTCAGTCAAAAGGTTCTTCTTTCTCTCCATTCCATAAGCTTGGGCACCTACACAGGGAATGCTGCAGGAGGCATGGTGCCAGCTGCTTCTGCAGGAGATGAACCATTCTTGCCTTTTTCCGTTTCTCCCCCCTCCTTCCCTGCCAGCACGATAGAGTTCATGATGCTCTCTATATGCTGGTTGCTTCTTCCCACTGTGGGTTACATAGGGAGATCTACTGTGACATTTGTTCTATCTAGTTGCCTCAGAACCATTTGTCCTGGATCTAGGATTCAACCTGCGCTTTTTAGGGGTCTTGGGTGGGATTGTATTTTATCAGCAGATCTTTTCTGTAGGAAAAACTGTGTGTTAAAAGAACAGTGGAGGATCAGTGTCATAGGCCAGTCAGAGAGAGGCGGAGGTAAGTTGGGCAGTTGTTTTTCGTGGGAGATAAATACCTGATTCAGGCTAGTATCTAATTGCATAGGGGACTGACCGTGCCTGTCAGCATATACATAATGGAAGACTAAACCTCTTGGCTGGTAACCTCACTAGATTAGAAGTAGACTGTGCACCATAAGGAGTATTGGGAGCAGAGTGGGGCAGTGAAGGTTAAGTAGAAAGAGATGAATGGAGCATTGAGAAAGAACAGGGGCTTTCTTTGGTTCTATTTAGAAGTAGTGATAGCTGCTCCTGTTGTGCTTCCTGACTCTCAAAGTAAGGAGTGATTGCTGCTGTACTAAGTTGAGAATAGCCAGAGAAGGCTCACCTTTGTATTAAGAACAGAAGATGCGAGAAGTTTTGATTTCTTTTGCTTTCTAGATAGCTTAGTTAAAAACAAGTATCTTTTTAGTGATTCAGACTAGTGTGTGGAATGTTGTTTGTTGTGGGATTTAACAACCTGCAGCGTCTGTCCCTTGTTTTTGTCATTTCGGATGCTAAACACGTAATATTTTTTAGTCTTGATGCATGTATATTCCTCCTAGGAGTCACAAAAGAGAGGAAACCTGCCTCGTGGATATGTGGCTATTCAATGATGGTGTATACCCTGTTTGGGGCAAGAAGGAGATTGGTTGGTACAAGGAGGGATCTCTTCTAGACAGGATTTCTCTTGCCACATAAGTTATAGGAAAACGTTACATGAAATATGGCAATGATCTACAGCTAGCATGCACCCTTTTGGAGAAGGGGTACCAGTTACTGACCCCTGACACATTTCTCCCTGTTAATTTGGCTTAAGACTAGCCCTACCACATTAGATGCTTAAGGTCTGGGGCTTGCATTTTGGTTTTCTGAAGGTTATCCACATTATTCAGTGGTAAGCAGTGCAGTCAGGGAGGTACTGGGGCCAAGCTGAAGCAAATAGATTATGCTAGCAGAATTGTGAAGCTTTGCATTGGGCTGCTAAATCAGGGCTCAAGCCGGCAGCTGGAGAGTGTCCAGGACTAAAGTGTTTTTGGTTTTCAGGCAGGGGAGGGGACTGGAGTGGAGCAGCAGCAAACAAGCATTGGGTTCAGTCTTTGTCGCGGTGCTCTTGTTATCGTGGTCAAAGGATTTTAAGCCAGTGGCTGCCAGCAGCAGCTGTGCTATAGCTCACGGGCCTGTTTGTGCTGCCTTTCTGGCTTGACTGAGACAAACTGCACCTTTTTTCTTTCTGTCTGCTGTGCTGTCTTGTCTCTGGAAGGGAAGTCTCCTCCTTGCTGCTTCTCCTCCCCTCCCCACCCCTCTAGTTCTGGGAGATGATGCCGCTCTATTGCATGCCTTGCTGATGTCACTGGCAGCGGGGTACGCATCAGCAGCCTGATCACATGCTGGCCCAGTCAGTAATGCAGACGGGATAGGTGTATGTGGGGTGGGGGGTGGGAGGTTGTATGGCAACTGCTCTAGACCTGACGCCCTAAAAGTGCTGGAACAGTGGCTGCAGTACCCTGACAACCTGGATTGGAAGCCTGCGCCTTGAGGAAACTCTTTTTAATATATATATAAACACACATATAATATATGTAAAATACACACACACACATATTTTAAACAGCACCCTTAACTCTTGGGCTCTTGTCTGTTCTATCCAAAACAGACTTCCCAGACTCTGAAGGAACAGTTACAAGCAGGATGCTTTTCCCCACCTCTGCGCAAGAATCTTCCCGGGGCCTCCCGGATGCAAATGACCTGTGCCTTGGCCTGCAGTCCCTCAGCTTGACAGGGTGGGACAGACCATGGAGTACCCAGGACTCTGATGCTGCAGCGCAGAGCAGCCCACAATCGGGTGAGTAAATTGGGTCTGGAAGGTGGGGGGTGGGGGTGTGTGTGCCGCTGACATCCGCAGCAACAGTTGTCGGATTTTCTCTTTCCCCGTCTTCATGCTCTGTTATCATGGAGTTGTTTTGCAGAGATGGGAATGTGAGAAAAACAGCTTGTGTTTGTAGAGAGTCTTTTTTTCTTTCAATATTATAAATGCCCAAAGTTGTTATACTTCTGAGGGTCTATGGGCAAGTGATAGGAAGGCAACTAATGTTTGTCTTTTTTCTAGAAATTATTAAAGTAACCCACAAGTGCCTAGTTCCATCTTGGAGATGATGTAGCAAAACATTTTTAAGTGGGGGGAGGGGAAGGAGGGAGGGAGTTTGAACATTTGATGTCACTCAAATTTTTAATTTAAGTAATATGTAAAGTGAGTGTGTGTGTGTGTGTGTGTGTGTGGGAGAGAGTGTGAGAAACATGGGGGGGAAGAATGGTCTCAGAATATTGGCATGGGATGAATTTTAACTTGCTAAATCTTACTGCCATGCTGCATTTAGCATTTATTTGTCTTTAAGCTAGAGAGATAATGGGAGATGGAGACTTGCCCTTTAGAGTTGGTGATTTAGGGGCAGGTATGGAAGGAAATTTCTAACTTGGGGCCCCACCCCTCATCCCAAAGGTCCCAGTTGTGTACAGTTGATGGGCAAGCACATCTTCTTTCACCTTTTACTCTTTTCTCATGTTACTTTCAATGAAGATCATTGACTAAACCCAGTTTAGACTAAGTAGCAGGAAACTTAAGAACTTTGAAAATGGCTTGGGGCGGGGGTAGGATGGAAAACTACCTTTGTCACAAAGCCTTTGTGTCTTTAGTGGAGGAGAAGGTTCTTATATCCAATAGTACCCCCCCTCCCCCAAATATAGCATTGTTGTTTTGGCCTCTTTTTTGGAGGGAGGGGAAGAGATAGGCCTAGCTTTAGCTGTTAATTGCAAGTCTTTTCAAGTGCTTTACAAAGCTGGATGGATTTGTATGTTTGGGCATTTTAATGCCCAATTAGTAGTTTTGATTAAAAAAGAGGGGGTGGGGTAGGGTTTTGAAAAAGAGGCTTTAAAATTTGTGTGGGTGAAGAAGGGGATATACTGTGATTATTTGACCTCTTCCCTCTGTTCCTCCTAGGTGGTAGCACTGGGTTTCATTGAGTAGTCAGTCTGCAGTACCCAGCCTTTTCGGGAGGACTGGCAACTTTATCGTACTTCATTTGGGATCAAATCACTGATGATGGGCGGACTCTTTAGGCCTAAGGTTCTTATGGCCCTTCCTTAGTGTTGAGATATGACAGATGATATTGTAAACCCATGTCTCTCTCTTGTTCTAGCTTCACTTAAAAGTGTTACAGAAGGTGCTAGTTTTAAGCTTACTTGCTAGATGATGAAAGCCTCCCTGCTCTAGAATTAGGCAATTAGCAGTGGAATGTGCTCTTCTCTCTTCTTGCCTCAGTGGCATAGTTGCTTTGGTTTAAGCTATTTTAATAGTAGTAGAGTCCTAATTTATGTTAAACCATCTATGCTTCCTACCCAGACAGTCTTATGATCAGTAGCACATGACTGTACTAGTAAGAGCTATAGCCTGTGGCTGTGGAACAGTGAGCATGCCCACATGGACATTATGCCTATGACCTTGCCCTTATAATGGGACATTTTAATTTGTCATAGGCAGGATAGGATTTATTGCTGAAATCACCATTCCTTATTCTTAGAGCTTGGGAATTGGTGGCTGCTCCTTCTTTTCTGTCTCTGTACTATTTACCTTCTTTGTAGCCCTCCAGTGAGTATACTGCCTCCTTGGATTAGGATGTAAAACTCCTACCACACAGCTGTGTTACCAGATCTTTTTCTCACCAACAAAGCAAGAACATTCAGCCCACGTTTTTTGCCCACACTGCTTCCCTACCCCTAGGACTAGATGGACTCCTTTAGAGAGAGTAGGAGTTCTGATAGGTCAGTAATCGTCCTCCTTCAGAAAGAGATGGTTGGAGAAAAAAGTGTATGGATCATGTGGTTGTTACTGGACATGTGATGCCATCTGATCTGAGAGTATACTTGGTAGTACACCTTCAAGCAAGTTGAGTCTTAGTTGTGTGCCTAAACAGATTCCAAAATCTTATGATGTTTACTTAGTCTGTATTCAGTGATGTGAAGCTTTGTCCTCCAAGAGAAACTTGCTGCTGTGGTAGGTTTAACCATCTTCTGTAACTCACAAGTATTCAGACATTTTGGGGAAAGGGGTTAGAATGCAGCAGGATTTTTTTAAAAAGTTCATAGTATTAGACTCTTAGCTCTAGAAGGGATTTTAGACATTTTGTCTAATCTCCTGTCTCCCCTCACATTCCCTCAGACCTTCCAAGGATTTTTTTTTATTTGCGTGACAATCCCTGATTTGTTAAAATTCAGGAGAATCAAAAATTGCCCTTTCAAGCAATTCTACATCAAAGATAAGACTCTTCCAGCTGTGGGTTTTTGTTTTAATACCTCAAATCTGTGTTAAGAGATAACTTCCTGTTACTGGCTGCTACAGGATTTCTGGTCACCTCTCCCAAGTCAGCACTGATTTGGGTTTGCCCATGTGAACTCCCCTTCACCTATGTCCATCTTGTTTCTGTGTACTTTGCCATCTAAATCCCGGGGTGGGTGGATTGAGTACAGTTTTCTTGTTCATTGCATCCCTGTGGAGATTGGCTTATTTTGGGTAGATCTTGAAGCTCTGAGCAACTCCAGTAAGAAGATTAAGGCTAGGAGCAATTTTTTGGGGGGAGAAGTGGGACTAATGAGAGCCTATTTGCATATACTCAGTTACTTTACATGTAAATGTTACAGATGTTATCTACAGCTTTGCTCAGGACACTAGTATTTAGGAAGCTGGTCACAATCATTGAATGTAGTATACTTTCTCTGCCCTCCTAAGTAAACTTGTCCAGTTTTACATAAAAGTAATTAATTTGAAGGCTCAAATTATGAGCAAACCTCTCTAAAAAGGTTATCCCTTTGACAGGCACCTTCTTTTGGCTCATTATATTTCAGAGTTGGAATAAACACTCTGCTAAGGAAGTAAGGCTTCTGGAGGCCTGGGACATTGCTTCTCCTGTTAGGGCTATTCTGTTCATCCTTTCTCAAATCAGTAAGTACAGGAAACTGAATATTCAGCCTAGTGTTTTCTCTTTCAGTAAGGTTAGCTTTATAATAGGAGCATTCACCAACAGAACTGTCATATCTGGGGAACTGGCATTTGGACAGGTCAGTATTCCTCACTTCCTGGTATAGAAATAGCTGGTAAACTTGATTCAAAATTCTCAGGTCAAGGAGGCTTTGATGTTAAAGGGGATCACATATCTCCTCAAAGAGTGTCTTGTAAGATCCTAAAAATGAACCTTCTTAGTTCTGCTACCTGCCCCAACTTCTGATCAGTCAGTCCATTAGTGCTCCCATCACCAGGCTTGCCCATTGTCTGCCATCTGGAGCTGACTAGGGAAAGAGATGAGTTGTCAGCACTTTTGGTTGGGGCTACAGCTTTATTTTCCTCCAAGTATCCTTTCACGTGAAACCTATTAAAATGAAACCTGTATCAATATTTGCTATAGTATCTTGGATTCCAGGCCTCTAGATAATGTCATTATTGCTGTAGGTGAGCACTCCTGTAAATCTGAGGTATGTGTTTTGGTGTACTTACTAATTTCAAGGTCTGAGGAAGAAATAACCAACATGGAATGTGTATGTGTTGCTTATATCAACATAACTAACTTATCTGGACTGTCATGGTCACCACTGCCTCTTTGATTCCTATATTCCAAAGCCAGATTGATTAGAACCATGTCAGGTCAACTGGATGGAAAATTCCCTTTGTATATCACTGGATTAGCATAGCTTATGGTAGGGAAGTATTTTCTGTGTGTAGAAATGTTAAGTATAACCCCGGACACTAATGATGCTCTTGAATCAACTGACAGGAGCATATCCAGTCCCTGTGAAGAGTTTGAATTAGGTGACCCCATAATGTGGGGTCTGTGCTTTTTTTTAAATTGTCTTTAAATATAATTGGTTTCTTTTGTAACCCTATATATTTTATCTTAGGCATTTAAAAACATTTTTCTGAGAAGAGGTTCATAGGCTTTCCCAGACTACCAAAGTGGGTTGTGACTCTAAGGTTAAAAGCCCCTGATATAGAAGGATAACATTCTGCTTTAGCCTTCAGAGGGCTGCAAGTAGGATGAATTGGTGGGATTTAGAGGCCTATTGTAGCAGTCAGTGTTCAGAAGTGCAATGTATGCTGCCTTGGTATAGTTGGGAGTGAATTCCCCATCCCTGGATATCTTCAAGAAAAGGTTAGGGGAGTTATTGGGGATGGTATCGATGGGACAGAATTCACACTGTAGGTTGTCATCTGTGTTTCTATGATGGCTAAGGTTGCTTATACTTGTATTATTTTAATAATACAACAGTTCTTTAGAATATTTGGGATTAGGGCAGTGTGTTCTTGAAAAGGGAAATTGCTATAATGACCTTAGGGCTTCAAACTTTGGTTATACTTAGAAGGAAAAATGAGCCATTGTTGTAAGAAGATAATTGGGAGGCTCTGGGGGATGATTTTAGTAGGTGTGAGGTGGGTTATTGTGGTAGAAGATAGGAAGTACAGATTGATAACATATCTGAGATTTAGAAGCATTATTTTTGAAATTAGGTGGGACCAGACATTATCAGAAAGAAGAAATCAAGCCGGGCTGGGGAAGAGTGGGGCAGAAATGAGTTACATATTCAGGGAAATCTTAGAGGAAATTAGTTACTGCTGGAATAATGGCAAAGCTCAATTTTGGAAATCAAAGCTTATGAATTTTGTATTGGGGAAAGAAACCATATTGTTCATGTATTTAGGTTAGTTTTAATACTGTGTGACGGAGTTAGCTATGTGACACCTACATTCATTTAATTAAAAGAAAAAACTACCCTCTGACATGTATTGGGCATCACCTTTTT